TATTAAAATGATTTTGGCAAAAAAAGAAAATAAATTCCAGCATGACAAAAGGCTTCTGTGGAAGGTTCAGCTTATCGGTGGGACTCGCTAAGACAAAGATATTCATGGATGGCATAAATGGGTCAAACTTTCACTAATGATTTCTATCATTCTGTCTCAGATTTCTCTTTATCCTCACAAACGTCTTTACAGAACACCAAGCACAGGAACTTTCAGGAAAAGCATTACTAAATGTCTGGTCCATCTCCTGACAATGATATGAAGAGAAGGACACTTGATCATGCACCAGCACAAAGTTCGGTATCTATGGCAGTAGGTAATTCTGGTGATGATTCTCACATTTCTCTTCAATCCCCTTCCAGGGCTGAAGGAGTGAATCCTACATTGGGCTCTCCCTCCCCAGCAAATGGAGCAGTTTCTAAGACTAATCACTTAGGGATCTCTTCCTCTTCAGCAGTCCCCCCTTTATCTCACAGTCCAGGAAACCCCCATTTGTCCACCAAAGTCAACAAGGGGAATAGAACCTTACATCATTCAGGTTCCGACAATTCCCTAACAGGAATAAAAGTTATTAATTTATCCTCTCATGAATTACCAGCTGCTGAGATCCTTTCTCTAGGTCTGAGTTTTTGCCCAGTGAACAATCTAGACAAATTCACCATTATTAAGGACCTTCAGCTGTTTGCTCAGAAGATATTGTTGAAGCTTTCTTATACTCAATTTGATGAAGATAATAATATTTTTAAATTATTTGTAAAATAATGTAAAGCTTTGAGAGATCTTTCTCTACTGTATGAAGCAAATAGTACAATTGATCTTATTGATCAGATTTACTTGGATGAACTGTTGGAATCAACTTCTAAATCCTCTCAGGAAAATAGGTCCAATGTACTCAAACGTAAAAGTTTCCCACTATGTGCTCCAATCCTAGTATAGTGGCTTTTTAAAAATGTGTGTCTAAGGCAACTGAGGGCATTCCTTTTGATGGCAATTTTGAATCTAAGCTAACCCAGGAACAAAAACCATCCCTTATGGAACTCCAACAAAGTACCTGTATTGTGATTAAACCAGCAGATAAGGGAGGAAACAAAGTGGTAATGAATAAAGTTGATTACATGAAAATGTGCTATGACATCTTGAAAAATAAAGATTGCTATATTCCTATATCTAAAACTTGGATGGACCTGTTCAATGCAGACTTTTGGTCATCGATCACTGCTGCACTGAGTGATGGTGTGATCCTCAAATCGACTTGGGTGTTCATTTATAATAGATTTCCCGGGTGTCTTCTTTCTACGCCATCCCTAAAGTCCACAAACAACTATTCTCTCCTCCTGGTTGCCCAATTGTCTCTGGTAATGCAAGTCTTACTGAGAATGCAAGCAAATGGGTGGATCAATTCCTTAGGCCATTTGTTTTGAGTCTTCTGTCCTATGTTAAGGATACCATACATTTCCTTCAATTGATTGAAAACGTGTCCATTCCCCCTGGAGCTGTACTAGTTACAATAGACATGGAAGCTCTATATTGTTAGATCCCTCATGTCAAGGGCCTCCAAGCCATAAGAAATTTTTTTAATCAAAGCAATTTGCATCCCAAGGAAATGTTTGACTTTGGTATGCAAGTTCTCTCATTTATTCTGCATCACCATGCATTCGTTTTTGATGGCCCTCCACTTTCCCCAGGTGCAGGGAGTGGCAGTGGGGACTTGTTGAGCCCCATCATACGCTAACCTGTACCCGAAGGGAGTGGAAGCAATCATTTTTGTTATCTGAAAAATCATCTATGTTTTTAGGTCACATTTTGACTTGGTTAAGATATATAGATGATATTTTTTTAATTTGGGATGGTCCCATTGACAAGTTGATACAGTGTTTGAAATTTCTGCGTACCAATGAGTATAATCTAACATACCATGCAGTATGATCAGAAGAAAATGGCATTTTTAGATGTGGAGGTTGAAATTGATATCAATGGTCTTTTATTTAGTAATCTTTTTTTGCAAGCCCACAGCAGGGAATACCATTCTCAGAACGAATAGCTTTCATCCTAAACCTTTGATTAATTCAATCCCATATTCAAAATATCTACGTCTTTGCTGCAATTGTAATGGTGATTAAAAATGTAAAACTACAGCAGATGAATTGAAAACTCGTTTATTGGAACAGGGATATTCAAAAACCTGTCTGCAAAAGGCTTATAATAAATCCTTGCAGCACTCCTGTATGGATTTGCTGTTTAAAAGTACAATAATCAACATCCCTTGGTGTGAAAATATATTAGGAGATATTGGCATTTGTTAAAGCGATTCTAAAGGTTCTTTTTTTTTTTTTGTAAAATAACAAACATGTCAATACTTACCTACTGTGTGCAGTGGTTTTGCACAAAGCAGCCTGGATCCTCCTCTTCTCTGGTCCCCTGCAGGCTCTCTTGGCTCCTCCTGTTTGTCGGAGTCCCCCACATTAAGCAGCTTGCTATGGGGGCACCCACTGCTTCATGTGTCCATTCACACACAGAGCCATGCCTTAGTCCCACCCCCTCTCTCTCCTCATTGGCTGACTGGCTGTGAATGACAGCAGCGGGAGCCAATGGCTTCTGCTTGCTGTTTCAGCCAATGACCCTGGGCAGCCTAGGCTGTCATTCACATCGCTGGATCGCGATGAGGCTCAGGTAAGTATTGAGAGGGCTGGGGGAGCTGCTGAACACAGAAGGTTTTCTACCTTCATGCATAGAATACATGAAAGTAAAAAACCTTTAGCCTTTACAACCACTTTAACTTCAGACCCTAAAATTTCTCAGAATGTCCACCTTGAAGCTTTAATTACATATCGTAGAGCACCATCTTTAAACGACAAATTAGTGTTTAGTACATTCATGTCTAATCCCCCCAAAAAACCTGGACTTCCCACGGGTACTTTCCCATGCGGTAAATGTAATTATTGCCACTTTATAAGCTCGTTTAGGAAGGTGAAGCTCCCTAATGGCTAAATCTTCATCCCTAAGGAATTTGGCAGCTGTCAAAGGATGGAAGTAAATTATTTGATGACTTGCCCCTGTGGGGCTTTCTACATTGGTAAGACTATAAGGGAATTATGGAGAAGAGTTAAGGAACACATTAATGCCACTACAACTGGGAATGTATATTCCCCCATTGAAAGACATGTGGTGCAAGCACATAATTACCATATGCCCAATCTTCGCTTCTGGGTCTTGAAACAGGTACCCCACGGCACCAGAGGCAGACTGGAATAAATCAATTCTCCAGTGAGAAGCTCACTGGAATCACAAACTTCGGGCTACATAATGCCCTGGATTGAACGATATTTTGAGTTTCAGACCGTTTTTGGATGGTTTTACTTCAGGTAGATTTCAACATTTAATGTAAACCCATAATGATCTAAAAAATTCTGGATGGTTTGTTTCTGTTGTTTTTAGTTAATATGTGGGTTTATACGATAGCTATTTGATCGTTTGTTATGCTATCTTTGTATTTTGTTGGTATGTGTATATAGCAATTGTACAGATCAATGCATGTCCCCTTTAAAGTCTATGTGGGGCTTCCCACGTTGGATTGGGTGAAATGTCCGGCACGCATGGTCCTCATGCCGATCGGGAGGGGGGGTCTTTTTTGCTGTCAGTGCGGGTGATTCCCCGGATGGCTAGTGCACCCCTTGTTTAATTAGACGAGTGGGGCGGAGAAAGGACGTGTTTGTACGCTGACCCCCTCTCCTCAGATACCCAGTTGGCCACAATAATTTATAATTAAGGGATTGGTCGTTGTTTATTGGCTGGTTATTAGCCCCTGATTGGTGTTTGGGTCTTTTTAATTGGAGGCACATTTGGAGACATTCACTTCTGTCCACTCTATGGATTTGTTGGGAACCATCTAGGCAATCTGGGAAGCTTTACATCTGCAGGTTGCAACTTTGGCAAGCAGTTTTTGGAAGTTTGAATGGCTTGGGTCTTTGTTTATTTGGCAGTCAACATCTTAGTGAGAGATTGAGCATACTTTTATATTGCATTGTATGCTTTTCTACTAGGTGAATGCCTTAATTTCCTTGCTAATGGATTAGAGGCCATACACTGTGATGTATGGTGGTTGTATGGAGTACTACCACTACTTTGGAGTCAGTGTGACCTTCTGTGTGACCCCTGGAGTTACATCTGGTGACATCCTGTCTTGATAGGTATGGAAACACCACCATATTTAATTTGCCAACTTATGAGACTATTGGGGGTCTGGATACATATCTGGATGTATGAAGCACTGGAATTGGTGTATATCCATTATGACCATTTATAGGATCCTTGAAAGGTAATATTCATCATACTCTGATTTTGGTAGGTAACCAATATAGTTCTCTATGATGTTATTGTATTTTGAATATAGGGTCCTCTTTTAGTGGCCACAATATTACTGTTATACTGTATATCCTGTGTTTAGGCTTGGTGCCTCTACCTTCTGTGCCAACTGGCTGGGTTTATCCTCTTTGCATTTTACCTGATTCCATTGGAGGTCTGCCGTATCGGACATGCATCTATCTACGTGTGTTTTTTATATACTCCTGTTTTGTGGGTATGTATAAGTAGCCTATGTTATACGAATGGCATTATTGTTTATGTTTACATGTGGTGTTTATCCATATGTGTTTTCGTCCTAGACCATTTTCTTTCTCCTGGTGAAGGCTCATTAATAGCTGAAACGCACTGAGGTTTCAAGGTCTCAAAAATCCATCTGAAAACGTCTCAACAGATGGAATGCAAACGACTCACTTATGCAGTCATAATCTAATTAAAATCAGCTGGGATGCCATTAAAGTTCATGTGATTGTAAAGGCAGGCTTCTCAATACTTTTGGCAATATAGCTAGAGATGAGCGAAGTATTCAAAAATTCGATTCGGCTGATTCGGCGAATTCGAGGAATAAATTCGATTCGATGCGAATATATTCGCTGCGAATTTAACTTATAAAAAGGATGTTTCTAGGCTTCAGAGAGCCTTTATATTAGTGCAGAACACTGTACCTTTAATTTACATGCCCTTGGAGTCTGCTGGGGAAGAGAAATAATACTGTCAGTCAGTATGACATGCAGATGAGTGCCGTCGATCTTAGAATCACCGCACACTTCACTCATTTGGGCAGTCACGGGGCCAAAACCAGAGTGTGGAGCCACAGTGTGGCGGTGGAGGCAGCAGCAATGGGAGGCCATACAGCACCCTATGACAAAATGGAACCCACCAGCAGTGTGAGGAGACCTGAAAGTGGCACATGGCAGAGTGTGGCGATGGAGACAGCAGCAATGGGAGGCCGTACAGGGACCCATGAGACACTCTGGACCTGGCAGCAGCATGAGGAGGCGGTACAGGGGCCCATGACAGATTACGGGCCTGGCAGCAGCATGAGGAGTCGGTACGGGGGCCCATGGCAGATTACGGGCCTGGCAGCAGCAATGGGAGGCCCGTAATCTGCCAGCACCCTATGACAAAATGGAACCCACCAGCAGTGTGAGGAGACCTGAAAGTGGCACATGGCAGAGTGTGGCGATGGAGACAGCAGCAATGGGAGGCCGTACAGGGACCCATGAGACACTCTGGACCTGGCAGCAGCATGCATGAGGAGGCGGTACGGGGGCCCATGGCAGATTACGGGCCTGGCAGCAGCAATGGGAGGCCCGTAATCTGCCAGCACCCTATGACAAAATGGAACCCACCAGCAGTGTGAGGAGACCTGAAAGTGGCACATGGCAGAGTGTGGCGATGGAGACAGCAGCAATGGGAGGCCGTACAGGGACCCATGAGACACTCTGGACCTGGCAGCAGCATGAGGAGGCGGTACGGGGGCCCATGGCAGATTACGGGTCTGGCAGCAGCAATGGGAGGCCCGTAATCTGCCAGCAACCTATGACAAAATGGAACCCACCAGCAGTGTGAGGAGACCTGAAAGTGGCACATGGCAGAGTGTGGCGATGGAGACAGCAGCAATGGGAGGCCGTACAGGGACCCATGAGACACTCTGGACCTGGCAGCAGCATGAGGAGTCGGTACGGGGGCCCATGGCAGATTACGGGCCTGGCAGCAGCAATGGGAGGCCCGTAATCTGCCAGCACCCTATGACAAAATGGAACCCACCAGCAGTGTGAGGAGACCTGAAAGTGGCACATGGCAGAGTGTGGCGATGGAGACAGCAGCAATGGGAGGCTGTACAGGGACCCATGAGACACTCTGGACCTGGCAGCAGCAAGAGGAGGCGGTACAGGGGCCCATGGCAGAGTGGCGAAGCGTAAGCAGCTTAAATTGAAGGCCATACAGAGGCCTATGTTAAAAATAATAACATGTTTGGGGCATGATTCATGGCGGATTTAGTCAGTTGTGTCAGGAACTGGTGGTTTGAAATCCAGACTAATCCACGCCTGATTCATTTTCACAAACGTGAGTCTCTCCACACTTTGGGTGGACAGTCGTGTCCTCCGCGGAGTTACAATACCTCCTGCTGCACTAAACACGCGCTCCGATGCCACGCTACTGGCCGGGCATGACAGCCTTTCAAGGGCAAATTCAGCTAGTTGGGGCCAAAGGTCAAGTTTCGTTGCCCAGTAGTCAAGGGGATTGTCTACCTCGGTTGGCAGGGTGCTGTCCAAGTAGGCCCAAGCCTGTTGTTTGAGGTCCTGCTCCAGGTCCACCTGATGCTGCTGCTGCTGCGGCTGGTTAGTAGTTTCCTCACTGCTCTGGTGAAGAAAGCTACTCATCATCGACTGCAGACTGAGGCAGCCGCTGCTGGTGGAGCTGCCACTGCTCCTACCACCCCACCCCTCCCCTGCTGCCATGGCAGCGGAACGCGAGCGCACAGGGCCCACAGTGTCTGAGGATGGACGTTGGCGCAGAAAGGCAGAGACCAACTGACTACATAGGTGGTTTTTATAGTACTTTATTTTGGCCTCCCTCTCAGCAGGTGTGAAAAAGGCCACCATTTTTGAACGGTAGCGAGGGTCCAAAAAGGTGGACAGCCAAAAGTCATCCCTCTGTCTGATGGTTATTATTCGGCTGTCGCTACGCAAGCAACCGAGCATGCTATGGGCCATTTGTGCCAAGGAATGCGAGGGACTCCCTGCCTCCATCTCCACAGCATACTGCCACGGTGCGTCTGGGTCCTCTGTCTCCTCCTCCTCCTCTACCAGATGCTCCTGCTCCTCCACTTCTGTCCGCTGAGTGGAAAAACCACCCATTTCACTCAATAATTCCTGAGCACCAATGTCCTCCTCTACCTCCTCCTCTTCTTCTTGTACTGCCCCCACAGGGGTCATGTGGCGTTGAGATCTGTGCGCCACGTCTACCGCACCCTGACCAGCCATTGTTAACAGCATTTGTTCCAGGACGTGCAACAGAGGAATGACGTCGTTCATCCCATAGTCCTGCCGACTCACGAATAGCGTGGCCTCCTCAAAGGGCCTGAGCAAGCGGCAGGTGTCATGCATGAGCTGCCAATGGCTGACATCTAAGTTACACAGGGGAGTACCTTTATCCGCTTGTAACATCAGGAAATCGGTGATGGCCTTTCGCTGTCCGTAAAGGCGGTTAACATATGTAGGGTTGAATTTCACCTTGTTGCAACGTCACAGCATGAGGAGTCGGTACGGGGGCCCATGGCAGATTACGGGCCTGGCAGCAGCAATGGGAGGCCCGTAATCTGCCAGCACCCTATGACAAAATGGAACCCACCAGCAGTGTGAGGAGACCTGAAAGTGGCACATGGCAGAGTGTGGCGATGGAGACAGCAGCAATGGGAGGCCGTACAGGGACCCATGAGACACTCTGGACCTGGCAGCAGCATGAGGAGGCGGTACGGGGGCCCATGGCAGATTACGGGCCTGGCAGCAGCAATGGGAGGCCCGTAATCTGCCAGCACCCTATGACAAAATAGAACCCACCAGCAGTGTGAGGAGACCTGAAAGTGGCACATGGCAGAGTGTGGCGATGGAGACATGGGCCCCCTGGCCACGCTTGACTTTCTGGCCACATAGTCGACATACGGCTACGTTTACTTCCTCGGGCGGCTTGACGAAAAATTGCCACACCGCCGAGTAGGAAACTTTGCCCCCGCTACTCCTCACTGGCTGACTGCTACTTCCTCCGTGCACACCGGCACCACTACTGGCCGTGGTGGTAGGCTGCAGTGGAGCTGGTGCTCTACTCCGTGGACGTTTGCCTCCACTGACACTGCTGCGACCCTGCTGCCTCCTGGGCAACCCACCGACTGTTTTGCTCGCTGCCAAGCTGCCACCCTCTTCTCCTGATGATGCGGAAGCAATAGCCTGATGACGATGAGGCTGCCAAGTGCGATCAGCCTCATCATCATCAATTAGGGTCTCCGCCTCACTACTAGCCCCCTCGGCTGCGTGTGGGTCTCTAGACCGGCTACCGAGCCACTCTCCTCGCCACTACTTCTTCGCCTGGCTGCTGAAGAGGCGGATGTCTCCCCCGTTCCTGACCGCCCTCTGTTAGCTCTTCCTCACTGTACAGTGGGGCTGAGCCCACAGCATGCGATACTTCGCTTGGTGAGGGAACACCAAAGGACAGGGGCAGGTAGAGGACACGTGATTTCAGTGGGCTTGCTCCCGGGCCATGCCAACTAACGGTTGTGTCTGACGTACCCACCGACCGTTGGCTGTAGGTGTCAGAGGTGACCTGGGAAGAGGAAGACGACCGAGCCAACCAATCGATGACGGCAGGGTTGTCGGTGGAGACACGACCGCTGGATGACACCGGGAGCACTGGCCTCTGGCTGCGACTAGTGCTGCCTCGACCCCTTCCTCTGCTGCCACGTCTGCTCGCTCCTGAAACATTGCCTCCTCTGCCACTCCTCTGCGTGTTGTCTGACATACTCTTTAATTCAACGATTCTGTGTCCCTGAGTAACGATTTTGTGTCCCTGAGTAACAATTCTGTGTCTGTCCCTGAGTAACAATTCTGTGTCCCTCAGTAACAATTCTGTGTCCCTCATTAACAATTCTGTGTCTGTCCCTGAGTAACAATTCTGTGTCCCTCAGTAACAATTCTGTGTCTGTCCCTGAGTAACAATTCTGTGTCCCTGAGTAACAGTTCTGTGTCCCTGAGTAACAGTTCTGTGTCCCTCAGTAACAATTCTGTGTCCCTCAGTAACAATTCTGTGTCCCTCAGTAACAATTCTGTGTCCCTCAGTAACAATTCTGTGTCTGTCCCTGAGTAACAATTCTGTGTCCCTGAGTAACAGTTCTGTGTCCCTGAGTAACAATTCTGTGTCCCTAAGTAACAGTTCTGTGTCCCTGAGTAAAACAATTCTGTGTCCCTCAGTAACAATTCTGTGTCCCTCAGTAACAATTCTGTGTCCCTCAGTAACAATTCTGTGTCTGTCCCCGAGTAACAATTCTGTGTCCCTGAGTAACAGTTCTGTGTCCCTGAGTAACAATTATGTGTCCCTAAGTAACAGTTCTGTGTCCCTGAGTAACAATTCTGTGTCCCTCAGTAACAATTCTGTGTCCCTCAGTAACAATTCTGTGTCCCTCAGTAAAAATTCTGTGTCCCTCAGTAACAATTCTGTGTCTGTCCCTGAGTAACAATTCTGTGTCCCTCAGTAACAATTCTGTGTCCCTCAGTAACAATTCTGTGTCTGTCCCTGAGTAACAATTCTGTGTCCCTGAGTAACAGTTCTGTGTCCCTCAGTAACAATTCTGTGTCCCTCAGTAACAATTTCTGTGTCCCTCAGTAACAATTCTGTGTCCCTCAGTAACAATTCTGTGTCTGTCCCTGAGTAACAATTCTGTGTCCCTGAGTAACAGTTCTGTGTCCCTGAGTAACAATTCTGTGTCCCTAAGTAACAGTTCTGTGTCCCTGAGTAACAATTCTGTGTCCCTCAGTAACAATTCTGTGTCCCTCAGTAACAATTCTGTGTCCCTCAGTAACAATTCTGTGTCTGTCCCTGAGTAACAATTCTGTGTCCCTGAGTAACAGTTCTGTGTCCCTGAGTAACAATTATGTGTCCCTAAGTAACAGTTCTGTGTCCCTGAGTAACAATTCTGTGTCCCTCAGTAACAATTCTGTGTCCCTCAGTAACAATTCTGTGTCCCTCAGTAAAAATTCTGTGTCCCTCAGTAACAATTCTGTGTCTGTCCCTGAGTAACAATTCTGTGTCCCCTCAGTAACAATTCTGTGTCCCTCAGTAACAATTCTGTGTCTGTCCCTGAGTAAACAATTCTGTGTCCCTGAGTAACAATTCTGTGTCCCTCAGTAACAATTCTGTGTCCCTGAGTAACAATTCTGTGTCTGTCACTGAGTAACAATTCTGTGTCCCTCAGTAACAATTCTGTGTCCCTCAGTAACAATTCTGTGTCTGTCCCTGAGTAACAATTCTGTGTCCCTGAGTAACAGTTCTGTGTCCCTGAGTAACAATTCTGTGTCCCTGAGTAACAGTTCTGTGTCCCTGAGTAACAATTCTGTGTCCCTCAGTAACAATTCTGTGTCTGTCCCTGAGTAACAATTCTGTGTCCCTGAGTAACAGTTCTGTGTCCCTGAGTAACAATTCTGTGTCCCTCAGTAACAATTCTGTGTCCCTCAGTAACAATTCTGTGTCCCTCAGTAACAATTCTGTGTCTGTCCCTGAGTAACAATTCTGTGTCCTCAGTAACAATTCTGTGTCCCTCAGTAACAATTCTGTGTCTGTCCCTGAGTAACAATTCTGTGTCCCTGAGTAACAGTTCTGTGTCCCTGAGTAACAATTCTGTGTCCCTGAGTAACAGTTCTGTGTCCCTGAGTAACAATTCTGTGTCCCTCAGTAACAATTCTGTGTCTGTCCCTGAGTAACAATTCTGTGTCCC